GGAACGGCTCTCCACCAGCAGAGGGCGCGCTGTCAGCGCTCCCCAAGGCCGTCGGCTGTGTGTCCTGCGGCACTCACTGGTTTGCTTGCTCTTGGTTTTGGGCATTTTCCAGGGCCAGGGAGAACAGAGGCTGCGTCGCTCCTGCCTCAGCACGTGACAGACAGGGACGCGCTAAAACCCCAGCTGCGGCACCTCCTCTCCCATTTCCACGTCCCCTACGACTTGCAAAAGCTGAGGGACTCGGCCGAAGAGATGGAACTTTTTTCCTTGGTAAACAACGCACTCTTTCCGTAAACGCGAGTGGCTGGGAGAGAGGGTCGGCATTTGCTACCAAGCGCCTCGTTGGTTTGCGATGCGATCTGTCTCGTGTAGCACAGACTGGCCTCAAAGTAGCTGATTTGTGGAGGATGACCTTGAGCTCCCTCCGCCTCCTGCCCCCACACTTCTGACACAAAGCTGTTTATTTCTTCCGTCCAGGCTTGTTTCTAGAGTAATAAGATACAACGTAATAAGCCATCTTCCTGCGACAAGGGCTTTCTTTCCCCCAGCGTAACAAGACCTTCTGATGATAACGAAGCCAGAGGCAGTTTACCTCTCCCCCACCCCCACCCCCCGTATATTTTAAAGAAAAGGAGGAGGATATGGCCTGAAGAAGATGTAAATGGACCCCAGGTTAGACAGACAAGCCTGGCAGAGTTAGCAAGCCTCTCTAGCCCGCTGAGTCTAAGAAGGGGTTGCAGTACTCTCTTTTGACATTTATTTTGCTTTTTGAGCGCGGTATTTCTGACATGCTAAATAAGGTTCTACCCAATAGGGCTTACGTGTGTTCTCATAAATGCAAACGGGGACAGCCCTGCCCTCCACTCCCTGCTGTGCTTTCAAAGAGAGCTTCCTAGTTTCGGGAGCTTACGAAAACATCAACAGTGGTTTCAGTGAGAGACCTTGCTACCTCTAGTTGTACGTTATTTGCAAGATTTAAAAAAAAAAAAAAAAAGCAAAAACAGAAACAGAAAACTGAGCAGCTGGCTGACCTGAACAGGAGCAAATCTAATCTGGTGGTTTTGGATGACCTCGGGATGTGAAGGTGCCACTTTCTGGTAACAACGCCTCCCGCTTTCTCCCCCCCCCCTCCCCCGTGCTGGGAGAGCAGTTGGCTTGGTCCAGCGCTGACCTTGAAGGCCCGCCTGCCTTTGTTTTCACGGCAGCATCATTTACCGGGACTGTGCTTCTTGTCTGTAATGCACACTCTCTGAGCTCACTGAACCCAGTGTGGTCTCATTCCTCTGGCTCCCTGTAAGGTGGAACTTTGTCTCTCCACCTCCTCTCCTTTCTCTGCCTCTTCTTCCTCTCCTTCCTCCCCTTCCTCTTTGCTCTGTCTCTTCCTCCTACTCCTTCCCCACTCCTCCTCCTGACGGTATTTTATGTATCCCAGTGGTCCTAGTTAAAACAGTCCTGTTCTCGGCTGTGATGAAACACCGTGGCCAAACTTGCAGAGGAGAGAGTTTATTTGGCTTACACCTCCATATCACACTCAGTTGAGGGAAGTCAAGGATTCTCAAGCAGGGCAGGAACCCGGAGTCAGGAGCTGACGCAGAGGGGTGCTGTTTACTGGCTTGCTTCCCATGGCTTGCTTAGGCTGCTTTCTTATAGAACCCAGGACCATCTGCCAAGGGATGGCACCACCCGAAATGCAGCCCTCCCACACCAATCACTGCAAGGGGGCAGTGGAACCACTGAAATAGGCCATTCCATGGGTAGACAGAAAGGTTTGTTGGGGATTAAGCCATCAAAGCAATCTTTGGGGAAGGGGAACTGCCGAGAGAACAGCAAAATGGTGGGAAAGCCTTGCCAGTTTTTTTTTTTTTTTTTAAGGAAATAGGTAGCAGGCCAGGGTGGCGTAAGGGGGCAGTGGGAGCCAGAACAGCCTAGGAACTAGCATAAGGACTTTTGCTGGGAACTTTGTTCTGGAACAGGCTTATTTGAGTTCATCGGCAGCTCGATGCCTCATTCCCAGAGGTAGCTGGCTGTAGGAGGCAGATGAGGGACAATTATGTTTAGAAGTGTATTCCACAAGCTTCCGGAAGAATCCTGGGTTTAGGTTGCAGTCCTAAACCCAGTCAGAGTCCACCCTGAGCTGAGCCCAGACTGCCCTGCCATTTTTTGGGGCCCACGTTGGACCTGATAGTCACTAATTAGGAAAATGCCCAACAGACTTGCCAACAGCCAGATCTCGTGGAGGCAGTTACAGAACTCACGGTCCTCTTTTCAGTCTCCCAAGCGCTGGGATTGCAGGTCTGTGCCTCCACACCCAGCCCTTTTGTCCTCTTGATGTAACCAGTGACAAGAGAATGTGAGGCCCTGGGCACCTCAACAAGGAGCCTTGTTCTGAAGAATAGCTAACGACCTTTTCACGGCAAGCGTTCCTGGCTTTGCTTTGCTTAGAGCAATGTTGTGAGGGACGTCAGCTGTGCTCCCGGGGTGGGCAGTCTCGGTCACATTCCTGTGCATGCGTGTGCGTGTGCGTGTGCGTGTGTGCGTGTGTGTGTGTGTGCGCGCGCGCGCGCACCTCCCTATGTGCTGTCTCCTAGTCCGTTCATTGGGGGGAAGGGTTTCAGGCTTTTCAACACACTGATTTTATGGAAACACAAATATTCAGAGGCCAGCAACCCCATGCCCATCTAGGTGTTATCTGTGGCTACTTTCACACCACAGTGGCAGACCCAAATAGCCGTCATCTGCAAATGCTGAAACGGTAACTACCTGACCCCTTAAGAGAGAGTCCACTGCCCACCCCTAGACTAGCGTGTCTCTCTCACACACACCCTGCCACGACAGATGTGTCCGAGGCTATGCCGTGCAATGTGCTAGTGACATGCAGCTGAAGCACCATCAGTGCACGCGGGAAACGAAAAGCCCGCATTGATTTAATTTTAACTAACGTGTCATGAAGTGTGGGATGACCAACCGCTCCCTGAGCGATTTCACATTGTTGCGTCACCGTCTCCGTGCACTGTGGCTGAGCACCCGAGGAGGAGGAAGGCGCTGGCAGTGGAGGTTAGCGATGGAGCCTCCGCCTGAAGGTGCAGGGTGACGGAGCGAGGCAGGTCCGGAAGCTCTGATAATGGTAGCGCCTGCGTCCTTTTCACCAGCGGTATCACAGGCAGGCTGCCAAGGGCAGGATTTACTGAACACTAGAAGCTCCAGGTGGCCGGGTGATCAGGAAAACTAAATACGTTCCCAGAGGTGGGCAGTTGACTTCCTGCTTATCTTTGGAGTCCAGCCCAGAATCTATGCAAGAGATGCGCTAACGCATTTCCAATCTTTGGCGCAGACATACACTCATCACATACTGGCCGTCACAGTAAACGGAGAGCACACGCCACACAGAGGTGTCCATGTTAAGGACCGGCACAACAAAGACATCTTTGTGAGTCAGCTTCCCTCCAAGACCATGTCAAAGATGGTGGCTGGAGAGGTGGCCCAGCAGTTAGGAGCCCTGGCTACTCTTCCAGAGGGTCTCACTTTGATTCCCAGCAGCCAGAACCATTTTATAACTCCCGTTCCAGAGGATCTGACCCCTTCTTCTGGCCTCCTAGGGCACTGAACACACATGGCACACAGACATTCATGCAGACAAAATACCCATGCACATAAAATAAAACCGAAAAGATAAAAATGTTAGAGAGGGAGAATGAATGAATGGACGAGCCAGTGGCTGTTTTAGAGATCCAAGACATTTTCCTTTGGGCTCCCCTTCTCTCCTCCTCTTCCTCCTCCTCCTCCTCCTCCTTCTTTTCCCTTTGTATGTGTACACGTGTGCCTGCGTGTGGGGTGAACATGCGTTTATTTGTGTGTGGTGCAGGCCTGTGCACAGGTGTGCGCAGGCCAGAGGAAGAGTTGGTATTTTGATCTATTACTCCCTGCCTTATTCCTTGAGACGCGGCCTCCCACTGAACTTGGGCTGGTGGCCGGCAAGACTCAGTGACCCTCTTACTTCCAGTGACATGGCTACACGCACATGTAGTCACGGCTGTTGTTTTTGTTTGTTTTGTTTTGTTTTAAACCTAGGTGTTGGACTCCAAACTCAGGTCCTCGTGCTTGGGCAGCAAATCTTCCCTCCTCTTCCTCCCTTCCCTCCTCCTCCTCTTCTTCCAGCATCCCCTCTCTCTCCTCCCTCCCCTTCTCCTTTTACTTTTTATTAGCATTTAAGAGAAAAACCCCAGAGCAGACAAGCTATCAATCTCAGCAGCTGCCCAAGAAGAAAGATAGAGAAAAGAAAGAAAAAGCCATAATGTTGAGTTTGGTACAGAGGTCAGATGTGTGGCAGGCAGCCATCCACATGGCTGGGAGGAGAGCTTGAAAGAGAGAGAGAGAGAGACTATGCTTAAAGCAGACAGTGAAAGAAGAAGATGAACATTTCCCGAGCAGTCTGGAAATGCAGGCACCTTCTGTAGCCCCGTGACTGTAGCTCCCGCCCCTCTCTAGGTTTCTCAGAATTTCCAAAGCATCTTCCTGGAGCAACAGAGGATGTGGACGTTCCCAGACTACGAGGCCTGGAGAGCCAAAGTGCAGACGATGGCTTTGCCGGGGCCTGCTGCCACCCTGAAAAAGAGAGCCAGCTGGAGTCGCTTCATGAAGGTAAGGAGGGACGGTCACTGGCCGGGATGGCGGCAATGCCAAAAACCTTTCCTCCAACTGAGCAGGCACCCAGGCAACAGGACTTTCTGGTCCCTACTCCTCCCTTCCTTAGCAACCTGAGCAAATTGTCCTCAAGGGCCTATGGGACATGCTGCCTGTCCTCAGTGGAGACCACAGAAAAGCCCTCAGCCTGTGCACTGGGCCCTCCACGCTCTCCTCCTGCCTCAGCTCTTCGTTGAAGGATTTCTTCAACAACACCTGAGCTGGAAGTTCCCCCAACACCTGAAACCCACTCTGCAGATCTGAATTTCTTTCATTTGCTTACTTTTTTTTTTTTTTTTACATGCTTGTTATAAAAGGGAGAATTTTCATATAGCCCAGACTGGCCTTATTCTCTCTACTATGTAGCCAAGGATGGCCTTGAGCTCTGGCCCTCCTGGCTCAGCTTCCTTAGTGCTGGGATTACAGGTATGTCCCACCATGCTTAGCTAAAACTCATCCCAACACACACACACACACACACACACACCCCAGTTTTGAGAGGTCTTACTCCGTAGACCAAGCTGGTCTCGAACCCATGGCAATCTTCCTGCCTTGGTCTCTCAAGTGCTGGGAGTTACTGGGGTGTGCCACTGTGCCGGGCTCCACTTTCACTCTTAATGATTTCGTACGTGCGACAAAGAACAAAGCCAGAAATATAAGTGATTTGTGTAAAGTCAACACTTGAGTGTAAACTGTTGTTGGATATTTACTGCGTCGGGTCCTCAGTGCTGAAGATGCGGGATTGGAGAACGATGCCTGAGCACCGGGTTTAACGCCAGTGGCAGCAGCTGGTGTGAGCTATAGCCAGGTCTCATTAGTCAAGCAGACTGTGTCTGGAAAGAACCAGAAACACTGCTGTAGCGGAGCCAGAAACCCAAGGTTAGGCTCCTTGGTCAGAGTCATTTAATACAGAGCTTTGCCAGCTGTGGAGGCTCATGCTAATCCCAGCACTCCCAGAGGCCGAGGGGGGAACCTCTGCCCCCAGGTCAAGAGCAGCCTGGGCTACACAGTGAGTTCCAGGAACACAGCAGTTCCAGCTAGAGGATGAGACCTTATTACATGAGAAGAAAAAAACCCAGAGCCTTGTTTTGTTGTGTTGTTTAAAGATGCCGTGTTTAACATGTATCATTGACTCATAAACATTCAAGTTCATGATCAGAAGTGCCAGAACTCCGTGTGAATAATGTCTGTCTAACATGTCTATCTGTCTTCTCCAGAGGCTGTGTCACAGTCTTCTAGTGCGGGACTTTACACATAGCCAGCATTTTAGGATTCTGTTCAGGGACTATTTTCACCAATAAAACAAGCAATGATCATGGCTCTAAACGAAACACAATAGGGACATTTGTTTCTAGTGTCCACAAGATGGAATGTTGACTTGTTCTGTCTTGGCTGGGAATATGACCACTGGCCAGGACCCTGTGCCTGTCTATGAGTGACCATTATTGACACTGGGGTCACAAATACATTTTTTTAAAAAGACTTTTTTACTATTATTTATTATGTATACAATGTTCTGTCTGCATGTACACCTGCACACCAGAAGAGGGCACCAGATCTCATTATAGATGGTTTGTGAACCACCATGTGGTTGCTGAGAATTGAACTCAGGACCTCTGGAAGAGCAACCAATGCTCTTAATCTCTGAGCCATCTCTCCAGCCTCACAAATGCGTTTTAATGATTAGGCAAGATTGAAAGTATAAAATCTTTGTTTGATAAGGCTTGGTTGTAATATTAAGGAAAGGAGTGTGTGTGTGTGTGTGTGTGTGTGTGTGTGTGTGTGTGTGTGTGTGTACATGTACGCATGAGCCTTCATATGACTGCAGGCCTGCAATGAACACTGTAGCCCAGAAGAGGGCATCAGATCCCCCCCGGAACTTGAGCTATAGGCAGCTGTAAGTTGCTGGGAACCATGCTCTACAGGAAAAGTCTGCTGTGATTTGTTGCTGTTGTTCATTCAGGCTGCTTGGACAAAGCACAGTGAACCAAGTAGCCAGTAAGCAAAGTAACTTTGCTTTGTACGTTTCTGAAGGCCGAGTAGGTCTGCCTGCCGACACGACTGGGATCTAACAAGGACACTTCCAGGCTACAGACAGCTGACTTTTTGCCTTAATTCCCTTCCGTGGCGGGAGAGACACACGGGGGCCTCGGACCTCCTCTGAGGGGCTGATCACTGGGTTCTACCTTCATGAACGTATCCCCTCCACAGGCTCGCTTGCTTACAGCATCACATTGTGGGGTGGGTTTCAACATGAACCTTGGAAATACAGCCCACTCCGATAAGTGGGTTGAAGAAAGGAAAGGTACCGAAGCCGTTCTCTGTCTGGGGCTTGGGCTCAGGCAGGCAGTGTAGGAGGTACTTGGACAGAACAGTAAGGAGGGTCCAACCTTTGGCCCCTAAAAGGTGGCATTGTCATCTACAGAGTTTGTGCTTGGGAACCGTATAGCTGAGGATATATAGTTTTACACAGGTCGATCGCTTTCTCCATGGCTGCGTCCAAAGCTCTTCTTAGCTGCGGGTGGCCACAGATAGCCCGAATACAGAACGCTGAGTGTGTGTATTTGGGCTGAGATATGAATCTGAGAATTACCAACATGTTGACGGCATAACTTACAACCACGGAGCTAAGTTTAGAGAGACGGTTTCTTCACGGGAAAGGTGATGTTTTAACTGTGGAGTCCTCACCGCTCTGCGTTGACTGCCCCCCTACCCCGTCACCGCCATGTACCCGGTGCTGGCGGCACTAGGTTCCCTCCTGTTTGAGGGCCTCGAGGGATACTCCAGATGGGATTTCTGTGCGGCTCCTTCCACAGCTCTGTGAGCACTGTAGACCCTTCCCAAGGCCTCATGCGCCCCAGCAAACCTTCAAGCAGGGCCACGGGATCCCCTCCAGCAGGGCCTCAGCTCTTCTTCTGCGTGGCTTTTGTGAATGTGTCCATCCCGTAGGTCAAGCCAAAACGCGATCCTTGGCAGAAGAAGATGTTGACCAGACTCAAAGAACGGGGAAGAATAGATGAACTAATGCGACTCCAGTCAAAGTTTCTGAAGGTGAGAAAACAGCCATGTTCTGTTACAGGTAAGAGGCTTGCTTAACGTCATCCTCAAAAAGTGACATTTTTTTTTCTCTTTAATAAAACAAAGAACAACAACCCATTGACGTGGTTCACCATAAAGACTTGATTTTTTTTTTAGCCTTCTTTAAATTTTTAAGAATTTAGTTTTGTATGTATGGATGTTTTGCTTGCATGACGTCTGTGTACCATATCATGCCTGATGCCATGGAGGCCAGAAGAGGCTCTTGGGTCCCCTAGGACTGGAGTTATAAACAGTTGGGAGCCATCTGGTAGACGCTGGGAATTTAACCTGGGTCCTCTGGAAGAGACACCTGTGCTCTTCACCTCAGAGCCGTCTCTCTGACCTCTTATTTAGAATTTTCTCATCTAATCAGCAAACTTTAAAAATCCAGCTAGCTTTCCGGAGAGAATAAAAATTGTCAGCAACCCACGTCTGGCAGTAAATGCACACTTTTAATCCCAGAACTCAGGAAGCAAAGGCAGATGGATCTCTGTGAGTTCGAGGCCAGCCTGGTCCACATAGAGAGTTCCAGGCCAGCGAGGGTGACACAGTAAAATTCTGTCTTAAAAAAAAAAAAACTGTCAAAAAGAGCTGTGTCTTTGCCTCAGTGTTGAGCGGTGTGTGGTGTTAGTGTAAGGGGATAGCTTCCTTAAAACTTGAACTTCCTCATCGTTGAAACAAGAAGGTTGGATCAGGTCACTCCCCGGGAAAGCTACTGTCTTAGCTGTTCTGACACAGAGTTCATTAGCGGTGAACGTGGTCACCTTGCTGGGCGATGGGTCTCCAGGACATACCGGTCTTGCAGCAGCGACGCTGCCAGCATCAGACAGTTCCCAGCATCCCTCCCTCCCAGCTCTTTGCACAACCGCCCCACTTCCTCTTCTGATGAATTTGGCACTTTAGAAACCTCAGCTGAAGTTCTGGCCATGCATTGCTTAACCTTTCCGTGACTGGCTTACTTCAGTTAGCACAATGTCTTCGAGCGGCATCCAGGCTGGAAAATCTGTCAGAAATGTCTTCTCTTTCAAGGCCAAATAGTAATCCCTTGTAAGTGTATCCTAAGGCCTATTCATCCACCTGTTGATAAGTCCAACGGATACTGTGGAGCTATCGATCCATCCATGTGTGCAAATATCTGAGGTCTAGCCTTCGGTTCTTTTGGGTGTATACCTGGAAGTAAAATAGCTGAATCACGTATTAATTCTATTTGTACTTTCAGTCTCTGGTGTTAATTATAGTAGACAGTGGTTCCGGTTTTGCAACACCCTCATTAACGCTGGCTATTTTTTTTTTTTTAAAGTAGTGGCTTCCTAATGGTAGTGAGAGAGTAAGAGAGTATACATTCATCTGTTGGTGAGAATATTTCCATATAGGATGTGAGTGTTAAAGTCCTTTGCATTGATTTTAAATTTTATTTAAAATCAACGTTATGTTGTTAGATTGTAAGAGCTCTTTTTACATTCTATTTTGCTGATCAGGTACTTTATATAGTCTATTTCCTTTATCAGATATATGGATAGAAAGTCTTTTTTTCTCCACTCTATAGGCTACTTTCTCTTTGCATTTATCTCCTTTGAGTCACAAAAGCTTTTTAGTTTGATGGAGAGCCATTTCTCACTTTTTACCCCCACCGCTGACTTCTGGCATCCAAGCAAACAACAAACAAATAAAATCCCAACAGTAAGAAATAAGCCAAGCCTGGGGCCGGAGCGGTGGCGCAGCAGTGAAAGGCTTGTTGCTCTTGAAGTCGGCCTGGGTTCGTTCCCCGGTTCCTATATGGTGGCTCACAACCATCTGTAGCTCCAGTTCCGGGGCACCTGATAATGTCTCCTGACCTCCAGGGGAGCAGCACACTGTCGTACATATACATACATTCAGGTAAAACACTCAAACACACTAAATAAAACAATCTAAAAATTTTTTTAACTAAAAAAAAAATTGCCAAATCCACTATTATGAAACTTTATGTTTTCTACTGGGAGTTTTGTGCTTTTAGGGCTAAGCTTTTTTTTTTTTTTTTTTTTTTTTTTCTTCTGTGACTCATTTGATGTAAACTCTTGCATACAAGAAATAAAACTTCAATGTTCTGCATGAAGCTGTTTGGTTTTCCCCACACCACGAATGCAGACAGCATCTTTCCCCACTCAGTGTCTTGGTGTTTTCCTCTGAGCTCCATCAGCCTGTAGCCTGCCCTATGCCAGCACCACACTATTTTGACAACTATTTTTCTGCAATACTTTCTGAACTCAGGGAGTGTTGGTCTTCCGGCTTTGTTATTTTTCAAAATTATTTGGCTCTTGAGGGTTCCTTGAGGTTGATTCCATGTGAATTTTATGGTGATTTCTTTTTAAACTTGCAACCCATGTCTCTGGGATTTTAACAGGATTGGAATAAGTAATCTTTGGAAATCTTTGTGCTATTAAAGCGATACAGTAGTGTCATTGAGGCGTGAAGTAGGTTCTGGAACCATTATTCAATTCTTTATCTCCAGAAGTGAAGGGAGATTTATTCAACCATTACACGCTAGACATCTTATAGCAATCCAGGAAGAGATGCCATTAGTATTGGTATCAGGCTGACATGCACTGCTCTGTGTGGAAAAGGCAGGAAAACTGGTCCAGGTCTGTGTCCTTAGGAAGCATGGCTGGCCTGCCATTTGGCCACCACCTTCTTCGTCTCCTGCAGCTTCCTAACAGATGACGGATTTGCACCCAGAGCTGATGGGGGTTTCTCTTTTCACCGATGCAATACTTGTGAGGATGCTATCTGGTAATGTCTTGTTGGCCGCCTCTGAATTTTAAATAAACTGGCATGTGTATCTGAATTTATATGGTGTCAAGTGGTTGGGTAATCATATTGTTTAACTTAATTAATTTTTTCAACATGTATTCTAGTCTGGCCTCAAACTCACTTATGTAGCTAAGGATGACCCTAAACTTGTGATTGTCTGGCAAACCTCTAAAGTCCTGGGATTACAGACACGCACCAGCCACGGTAGGGTCATGTACTGCTGAAGATGGAACTTACATACCAGACAGCACTGTCCGAGGCTGTGTCCTCAGCCCTAACGTGTTTGTTAGGATGAAGTGCCACTTCAGGCTCCTTCCAGAGTCTTGTGGAAGAGAAGGGGCCCAGGGGCCAGTGAGATGGCTCTGTAGGTAGGGGCACTTGCTTCTAAGCCTGACAGCTTGAGTTTGATTCCCTGGGTCCACATGATGAAAGGAGAGAACCGACTCTCAGTTGTCCTCTGATCCGCACATATGTGTTGTGATACTCTCTCTCACACACATACACACACAGATGAATGGATGAATGAATGAATGAATGAATGAGCACATGCATTTAAAAATAAGCAACAAGGGGCCTTCTTGTGTCTAGTAACCATCTCTTCTCCCTGCTCAAGATTTCTGACCCTGTGCAAGTCATGCAAGGGCTCCAGGATCACGCTGCAAAGACAGTGAACGTGGCTCCTCATCACCCGCCATTCACGATTTCTCAGGCCCTGCATCCGGGCACCTATGACCATGTCTGGCAGAATATTTACAGCAACCCCAAGTTCTACCAGGTAGTACATAACACATGGTCCATTTGCCTTTGCCTTTTGCCTTTGGCCCCATGTGTCACCTTGAGTAACTCACCCTCTGCCTCCAAGCTCTGTTATCTACGCAGGTGAATCATCGTGATAAGGGAGAAACGATGCTAATCAGGGACAGGAGCATACAGACGCATACTGGATCTCCCTGTTCTGCCACAGACCCCCACCAGCAAGGCTGCAAGTCCTGAGCTGAGTGCCCAGCCAGTGGAAGCCTGTGTGCTGTTGGTGGGATTGTTTGACAGCACAGGCTGCAGCTCCTGAGGAGGGAAACCAAAGGAGAGTTAACACAAACAGTGGAAGGGCCAGCGGGAGGGGGGGGGTGCAGAGGAGATAGCATATACGGGGAGAAGCAGACTCGTGTGAAGGTACGGTAGAGAGAGGCTGCCCTTTTGATGCAGAGGGCCAGACAAGTGATGAGAGCGCCTACACTCCAGACTAAAGAGCGCTGTGTCCCACCGCTAAGGGGAGTGGTATGTGCAGAAAAGTATTCTAGGAGGATTTATATGGCAGCAGAGTGTGCATTAGACAGAAGATGAAGACATCTAGCCCAGGGAAGCCAGTCAGGTGGCTGTCGTCTGAGAAAGGCATGAAGCTGAACCTTGAGAGGAAGTTTCCACACAGCGTGAGCGGCCATTCGCCCCGACCTCGGTGCCATATGCTTTTGAAACTGGAATTGACTATTATTTGTTTGTGACCTGTTAGCTTACTTAGGATGGGAAGCCCCGATTGTTTTCATAGTCTGAAAGGAAAGGGTGCTAGAAGATAGAGATGGAAGGAAGGAAATGGGAAATGGGGGAGCTTGGGGGAGCCAGAGGGGAGGGCATGAAGAAACAGGGCGGAGGGGAGATCTTAAGAAAGGGAGCGTGGTGTCACTTCCCCTGAGGTAAGAGGAGTCTTGCAGAAGTGAAAGGTTAGGATGCGGGCACCTGTCCCCTGCGGGGGATCCAGGCAGGTGTTTGTCCCCATTCTCTGGAGAAGGTGGAGGCCTATGAGAAGCTCTGTGGTGGGACCTGCAAGGCCATCGGAGAAACTCATGTAGCTCACAGACCCCAGAGCTCCTTTCATCTAAATCTACTGCTTTAACTTCTGAAGAGAACTGTAGAGTGATGAAAGATTGTAGAAAGTCAAAGAGATGGGAGAGTTGGGAATGCCCATCCCAGGCATTCCAGGCCAGAAAAAGGGGGATCTCAAGGGTTCTAGTGAGTTCTAGACTACCTGGAGGCAGCACAGATCTCCTGGGCTCCCAGAGTCCACCATGGAGAATTTGACTATCAATGCCCTCTTTCCTCAGCTGGCATCTCATCTGAGGGCTGCCGCTGCCATTTCACTCTGGCATGTCACTGTCAAGAGCAGCGTAGGGCAATAAGGGGACATTAAAAGTATCTGAGACTTCTGCCTCCTCAGCCTGACTGACAGGACAGAGGGCAGGGAGGGCAGAACAGACAGGACACTTGGCGCTGGGTATCTCTGAGCTGTTTGGGTGTTGGACAGTTTACCTCAGAGGCTGATCAATCACTCTAAACCTGAGATTTCAGATATTAATGTCTGAGGGCTTAGGTGTGGTGTTACACTCCTGTAATCCTAGGGTTTGGGAGGCGGAGGCAGGAAAAGCAAGGTTTTGACATCCTCTGCTACATCGCAAGTTCAAAGCTGACCTGGTACATTGCAAGTTCAAAGCTGACCTGGCTACATGAGATAATGTTTCAAAATAAAAAGAGGGGAAAAGAAAGGGAAGGAAGGAAGGAAAGAAAAAGAAAAATAAAAAGAAAAATAGAAAATCTTAAGCTCATAATAAAAAAATTATTTTCTCACTGGCTGAGAAAGCAGAGGGAGTTAAAGTCTTAGGGGCCTAATGGTTTAAAGGAGGAAATAAGAACAAGGGAGGGACAGAGAGAGGGGATGGAATTAGATGTCTGAAAATATCATGGAAAATATATTGTTTCCATACTTTTAAACACACACACACACACACACACACACACACACACACACACAAACCACCCAGAAAAGAACGTTCCGAGAAGGCAGGAAGACAACACTGCTTTAGAAGAGAAATTCTGAGTCAGCAGCAACCAACATGTTTTTTTAGCCGACTTTTCCCATGAGTCATAACTTGTGACCTCTCCAGTATTTGTCACTTTACACGGGACCGCAGCCCCCATGGACTCCCTACCATTCTGGATGCTGAGCGCCAGGCAGGTGGAGCCTCTGGAAGGAGTGCTGGGCTGCAAGCACGGATCTGAGGCTCGGGTGCAGTTTGGCAGGCACGCGGCAGTGAAACGCCTTTTAGCATCTGTGTGTGGCTTGGCACCCTGACTCTGAAGCTGGCAGGTGGCAGCTAGGAACCAGGGCAAAAGTCTTTCTCAAGGACACGCTGCACGGAGGAAGCAGAGCTCAGCCGTGAGAGAGCACAATCATTAGTTAACTGCATTTGCAAAGTCGGAGGGGAACTGTTCATTGGTAAAGCTTTCCTTAAGGGTTTCACTTTTTAATAAAACGATTGTTTAGTTACAGTTGGAGGCGCACAGGAGAGTTACAGAGGGGTCTCCTGCCACTGGCATCTTACAATAGTAAGGGGCATCCGTCAGGCGCAGGCAGATTACACACACTCTCCTGTGGATGTCCGTCTCTGCTCCGACCTTCCTACCAGGGCCCCCATTTGAGTTTACTCGTGCCTGCCAGGTCTCATCTGGCCTTTCATGGTTTCCCAGTCTTTCCCTGTCTTAACATGACCTTGGCAGCCTTCGGGAGTTCTGGCCAGGCAGATTTGACACAGGTACTGAGGATTGAACCTATATTTTCATGTTTGCCCAGCAAGCCTTTGCTGACTGAGCCATCTCCCTAGCCTCTCTGCTGTTCTTTTTAATAAATAGTGTGACTTTCAATCATGCTACTAGTCTAGTATGCTACAGCTGGGAAGAGTACAGGCTCGGCAGTCAAAGGCCCCTTCACATACAGTCTTGGGAACTGCGTTCGTTAAACTTAAGTTGTAAACTAGAATGGCAAGGGATCAACTGAGTTGGAAATTATACCTCCTCCCCCCTGGACTGAACATCTGGATGTAGGTAGGAAGCCTGGAGCTGGCTGGCAACTCGGCTCCATGGAGTCCTTGGGCAGTTCTGTCTGTCCTGAAGTATCAAAGGCTTTGGCCACTATACCTGGGATCACATGGCCTGAAATGGAGCCCTAGCTGTCATGTCCCTGTTCTGAGGAGAAGGGTAGAGAATTGGGGTGGGGAACCTACTTCTTTGGCGTGTTCCCCAAAGCTGCAACATGGTTGGCATTTTGACCCGCTCTCTTCCGTTCCCTCATTCCATACGAGGCTACACCGACTGGTGTAGGGAAGGCTTGGAAATGCCTCTGAGTTCATCTGAGTGGCCAAGTGCCAGGACGAATATTCAGTTGCTGAAGTGAAAGAAGAAAATGGCCATTTGGAACACTCACAAGCTCCTGTATTAAAAACCTGCTGCAATCCTGTGGACCAGACAGTAGAAAACACACAGCCCCGACGGGCTCCCACCTCAGCCTCTGCCGCTCGGTCACCATGAAGGAGTGCACTTGGGGAGAATAGGCTGTGTGCCTAGGGACCCAAGGGAGGGCAATTAAGAGTCTGCTCAGAGGGCTGAGGGCAGACCACAGATAGCACCGCCCCCATGGTTGTCCCTGGGGTCCCGGGTAGATGACAAAACCCTTGTGAGTACCAGGAAAGATGAGTGTGCAAGATACGCACTCATTAAACTCACCAGTCCAGCTAGCCAGAGGGCCGCACTTTCAAGAAGAGACACTGTCTGAAAAAGCAGTGGGGTGGGAGAGAAGTGAGTGAAGGAGAGAGAGGAAGAGAGAGCGAGGGAGAGGGAGACTCAAGGGTCCAAGCATGTAAGTGTTCTTAAAAAAGTTTTATCATTTTTTTTTTTTTTTGTAAAGTGGATCATGAAAAAGACAAGGAAAGGAGTGGCTATTCTATAAAAGCTGGAAATAAAACAAAGATTCATCCTGCATTTATTGTAGAAATCTAGATTTTCACATGCTGGTTAGGATTAAAACACTTTTACTAACACATCTAACGTGATTTGGCTCATGGCATCTACTTCTCGGATGACCTGTGATTTTGTCAGTATCATGAACGCTCACATAACTGAACAAATACCACTTTTTGAAAGGATGAAGATTCGAAGGATGACAGCCTTTCAGTGGAACCAAGAGACGATGACCTCGCAAAAACACATCTCAGCCGAAGTTCCGATGGCTGTCTCCAGCAGAAAACAGCGACAGGGTAATTCAGTCTTGGTTTTGGTGATTCGTGGAAATGAATTTAAAACCGTGAGGAAACCCAAGTGAGTGACGACTGTGTGGCTTACATGTTACTTCAAAGACATCTGAAGTCAGAACATAAGCAGAACCATTAACCCGGGCCAGAGATCTGAATTCTTGTTTCTCTCCGGGACTGGGTCTCTCAAATGGGCAAATTCTCAGTGAATTAGTTTTTTTATATTTGTGCAGACAGAGCAATCTTTTTCCTTCCAGGGCATTTCTGAAAACTCTCTTCAGTTCCGTCTCACGCCCCCACGGGATGTGTGGATTTTCTGAACTGCTCTGCGATGTGAGGCGCTCACTCTTTTTCTTCTGTGTGCTAAAGGTACAGCTGTGCTGTGGCCCTACAGCTGCTGGGCCTGAGTGATGGGACTGAGCCTGACGGGAATCCTGTCCTGATGAGAGGGGCCTACTTATCCTTCCTCTGCCTGCGCCACCTGCGAATCCGGGACTTACAGGTGGGGAACGCTTACACACCCGGCTTCACTCATTGGGGATGTCTGAGTGTCTGCAACAGGGCCGGTCCCACCTGGATTGTGTGTCTGTCCTTAACCCCAGCAAGTTCTGCTCTGTAGGGCGGGGCAAGGCGAAGGGCAGTGTCTGATTCTGCTTTTTCTCTGTTCCAGCGCATCTGTTTGGGAGTTCTTAACTTCTTCAGATCTGTTGAGCGATCCTTGACAATTAACACTGCAGGCCTTACCTTGGTTTCGGGAAACCTGGTCCCCACTGCAGGAGATAGTTCCTGGGTAAATATGGCAAAAGGAGGCTTGGGTACCTTGCAAGGCCTAGGAGCTCACCACTACGTCCACGGGACACCTGCTGAGCACAAGGTGAGCTATTTGGCTAAGTTTTTATTCCCTGATGAGTGGCGTCTTCCAGACTGTGTTTTATTTCTTAGCACCTACAATCAGTTAAACCTGGTGAAGTTAACAGGTGGAAAGTCATGCTAAGCAAAATGAACCTGATTCAGAATACACATTCAGAAGTGGGGGCTGAGGGATGGGGAGTAAGAGAGGCCAATGAGAGGTACATAAAAAAATGCCCAAAGCACACTGCATGCATATACAAAGATCACAGCAAACCCCATTATTTTGTACAGTTAGTGTATGCTGATAAAAATGTAGCAATTGGAGCTACAGCAAAACTGGGGGACCAGAGCTGAGCGTGGCGACTGTGATGTAATCACGTCTCGAGGGAAGCTGAGCTGGGGGAGCTTGAGTTTGAGACCCTGTCTCTTAGATAAGCAAACAAACAAGGCCTGGCAGTGCCCACCAGAGGATAGGAAGCAGCCAGAGAGGAGAGCGCCTCTCCAGCCACAGCAGGAAGGAAAGGGTTGGAGCGCTGGGTAGGTGGTGCCATAGTGAACGGAATGACAGGGGTCCTTCCCTGTCCCAGCCCGGGCCTCACATGTTCTCACAAAGGTCTTACAGGACTCTCTCTCTCTCTCTCTCTCTCTCTGACCATGTGCCAAGTACCTTTTTGTCCCCTCTTTGATTTCAAGCCTTTTAAAAAAGATACTAGATTAAGCCAAATGTGGTGGTGCATGCCTATAACCCCAGTACTCAGGCCCAGGTAGAAATATCTGGAATCATCTTCAGCCACAAAGCTGAGGGCCAGCCCTGGCCGCATGAGACTCTCATACTAACTTAAGCCTGGCATAGTGTTCCACACACACCTGTAACACTAGTACTCCAGAGCTGAGGCCCAGGGGTCATGAGTTTGAGCCCATCCTGGAACCATCTCGAAATGAAGAGTGTAAAGTCCAGCAAGGTGGCTCACTGTGTAAAGGCGCTCGCCTTCCTTCAAGACAGATGATCTCAGTCTAACTCCCTAGAACCAACACGGTGGAAGGAGAGAACTGACGCCTGTAAATTGACCTCTGACCTCCGTACGTGTGATGTGTATATGTACATTTGCACGCATGCAACAAATGAATTGAAGATTTTAAGGAACGTGGCATTAGGCTGACAAATGTAAAGAAAAAAATACTTATTTAGCTTTGAACAAGTCATATTCTGAACGGTGGCCCCCGACATATGCCTGCTGTGTCTATAAGACAGGAAATTTTACTCTTAAATGCTGCTCCTGGGTAGAGTATAGACAGCTCTCTGTGGGCAGGAGAAGCACCATGAGAGCTATGTATATATTTAAATTTTCCTCGTAGCTACATTTAAAACCTGCAAAAAAGCATGTGAAATTAATTTTCATGCAACCCACATAACCCCATGTGCAAGGTACATTATTCTCACATGTAATCAGTATTTTAAAAAAATCCATGGTGAAATAGTGCACATACTTTTTTCTGACTTCTTTAGAATCTGATGCACATTATCTACAGAAAGTGTGTTGGCTTTAGGTCGCCATATTGAACATCGAGGCTCTGGATATTGGGGAGTATTTTCTTTTCCTTGCACAGTCACTTAGAGCCCTCCCACTCAATATCCAGGACATCGTTCTCCTTCTCCCTCCTCCTTTCTCAAGCTCTTTTACCTCCACACTCAGACTTCCGCTCTGCTCACCTCACGCCTCAGGTTCTTGACTCCCTTGAGCTGTCACAGAGCCGATGGCTAACTCCTTACCGGGCCTTTGGAGGCCACTCTCTTCAGACACCTGCGTGCCACCATTCCTGTATTGCTCCTATCACTGTCATGACGATAGATACTATGCCAGCATAGTTTTAAAACACCGTCCTTCTCATGAAATTGAAAAGCTTCTGTAAAGCAAAGGACACAGTCATCAAAACAAAGCCACTGCCTACAGATTGGAAAAGAATCTTCACTAACCCTTTATCTGACAGAGGACTCATATCCAGTGTATCCAAAGAACTAAAGAAGCTGAAAAGCAGCAAACCAAGTAATCTACTTAAAAAATGGGGAACAGAGCTAAACAGAGAATTCTCTGTAGAAGAATATCGAATAGCAGAGAAACACTTAAAGAAATGCTCAACCTCATTAGCCATTAGGGAAATGCAAATCAAAACGACCCTGAGATTTCACCTTACACCCATCAGAATGGCCAAGAGAAAAACTCAAGTGACAACACATGCTGGAGAGGTTGTAGAGAAAGGGGAACCCTCCTCCACTGCTGGTGGGAATGTAAACTGGTACAACCACTTTGGAAATCTATCTGGCGCTTTCTCAGACAATTAAAAATAGTGCTTCCTCAAGACCCAGCTATACCACTGCTAGGTATATCTCCAAAATTTGCTCAAGTACACAAAAGGGATACTTGCTCAACCATATTTATAGCAGCTTTATTTGTAATAGCCAGAACCTGGAAACAACCCAGATGTCCATCAACGGAGGAATGGATACAGAAATTGTGGTACTTTTACACAATGGAATACTACTCAGCAATTAAAAAGGAGGAAATCATGAAATTTGCAGGCAAATGGTGGGATCTAGAAAAGATCATTCTGAGTGAAATATCCCAGAAGGAGAAAGACAAACACGGTACATACTCGCTTATATAGACCTATAAGATATGATAAACATAATGAAATCTATACACCTAAAAAAGATAATCAAGAGAGCGGACATGGGGTAAGATGATCAATCCTCGTTTAGAAAGACAGATGGGATGTGCATTGAACATATGACAGGAGTCTACTGAGCGCATCTGAAAGACTCTAACTAGCAGTGTTTTCAAAGCAGATACAAAGACTCATGACCAAACCTTCGTCAGAGTACAGGGAATCATATGAAAGAAGGGGAGTTAGTATGATGGCGAAAGGATAAGAGCTCCACAAGGACCAAATATATCTGGGCACAGGGTCTTTTCTGAGACTGACATTCAACCAAGGACCATGTATGGATATAACCTAGAACCTCTGCTCGGATGTAGCCCGTGGTAGCTCAGTAACCAATTGGTTTCCCATTGTAAGGGGAACAAGGACTATTTCTAACAGGAACTCAATGGATGGCTCTTTGATCTCCCCACCCCCCAAGGGAGGAGCAGTTCTGTTAGGCCACAGAGGAGGGCTTTGCAACCAGTCCTGAAGATATCTGATAAAACAGGATCAGATGAATGGGGAGGAGGTTCCCCCCCCATCAGTGGACTTGGAAAGGGGCAGGGTGGAGATGAGGGAGGGAGGGTGGGATTGGGAGGGAATGAGGGAGCGAGATACAGCTGGGAAACAGAGTTAATAAAATGTAACTGATAAGAAAAAAATAAAATTAAAAAAAAAAGAAAAAAATAAATAAAACAACGTCCTTACCAAAAGCCTCTCTCTTATTCAGTTTGTTCTATGTTGGGGTGAGGAAGAGAAGTGAAGAGGGAAAAGGGAGACAGATAGCATCTTCCCCCACTGACTGCAGATTTCTGGCTTGGGGCTTTGCAGTACAGCATTTCTGGTGTCTCACAAATGACAGGCACGGCATCATGCTGAAAAACTGCTACTGCTACAGTGTGAGACACACCAGTCCAGCACCCACCTACGAGGGTCTTTGGTGAGACAAGTATTTACATTAGGATATCTAGTCCTGCAGGGTGGGGAGAAGGGGCACAGATGCCGGTCTGCTGTGATGATCCTGTCTAGTTTACTGGCCATGGGGGAAGCGCCCAAGATGGAGGCTTCTTCCCTAGCACACTCCTTTCGGCCCTTGTTTTGATTCCCACAAGGAAAGTCTTGGGCTAATGTTAATGACTGTTTACCCAACAACAGCGCTAGCAAAAGGAGTCATCTACGGCCTACCACAGCTACCTCTACTTTATGGCCACCACTTTACACGCCTACTTAACATGGCAGGGTAGAAGGAACCCTGCGAGGGAGTGCAGGCTTTTGGTGTTGGACCTTGTGCGTGGCTCCTCAGTCATGGGAGCCTGACAGGGCCTAGTGAGTTCAGGGGGTGTTGGTGGTTGGTGGGTTGGCAGCAGAAGGCTGTTAGGAGGAAGTGGTACGAGGTGAGGGCTCTAGGAAGAGGGAGCTAGACCACAAGGGGCTAGGCTCTCCTTAGATGTGGGACCCATCCCTAAGGTAGTGGGAAATGGAGAATTTTAACAAGGAGACTGTCTTCCTTGTTGCTTTGTAAGTTTCTCAGGACCTTAGCCAAATGTAATCATGCTTGCTATTTCACTGGGAGTCCTTGCTGAGTTTCCTATTCCTTACAAGATGAAGCCCAGGCTTCTCGGTGACATTTGCCAGGCTGAGCATGTTCTGGGCCCTGCCAAGTTCTCGGGCCTCAATTTCCCTCTCCCACCTTTATAGTCTCCATGAGGTAGAGCCTGACCCACCTCTGACCAGACAGTGTCATCCAGACATCTGGGCTCTTCTGTCCCTCTCCCCTCCCCCCTTGGCAGATGTGTATTCTGACTTAAGAATGGATTCTTAAAACATCTCTCTGGAGAGCTCTTCTTTATATAGGATGAGAGACTCGTCAGCTTATCATAGAATCCAGTCCACAGCTCTGTCGACTATCTGCTTATCTGTTCCCATAGGCTGTAAGCCAAGCTTACCTTCTTTCCTTCCTTCCTTCCTTCCTTCCTTCCTTCCTTCCTTCCTTCCTTCCTTCCTTCTTCCTTCCTTCCTTCTTCCTTCCATGAGCTCTGCTCTAGGCACAGGAGTACAGCAGTGTACGAAACTAGCACAGATCCCCGCCATAACAGAACTTACCCCACAGCAAGACACATTAAATAAGCATACAGTGTGTAGCAAATATAGGGAGATTTGGCACCAAAATATCCCCCAGGCTTCCTAGCTCTGGCAGTTGAGTGGGGCTGTGATTACCTTTGAACTTCGAGCAGAAATGTGTGTCATTGTTCGTATGGAGTACTTAGGAGCTTGTCCACACCCTCTGACTGTCTCCTCCTGCTTGAGCCAGTAGAAGGCTAT